ACATAAAGTGATATATGACTGAAACTGAAAAAAGAAGCCAACAGGTCAGAGGAAAAAACACAAGCGTTCGAGGCTGTTCGAGCACTCGCTACGAAATTTTGTAAAGCAAAGAGAGCAAAAACCGAACGGTGATCAGTCAGTATTAGCCTTAAAATCATCAGTAACCTGGAAATCTTTTATGCAAATCAGTTTTCTTCATTATCCGCACAAAGCTTATTGCGCGACTATCAACAAATTTTTAGTAACACTAGCCAAAACTGGTCCTTTTTTAGGATAAATGCAGTGAAAGTCTTCCTCAAGGCATGTTCTCCCTCTCCATCATAGATAAAAAAAAACTGTGGATAGGAGGGCAAGGAGACAAACGAAAAAGGCCAAAGTCACAAGATTGGCGTTTCTCGCAGAACAAAAAATTGGCAACACTAGTTGACAACCAAAGAACTCTCTACTATAGTCTTCCCCAGGCATCTTCAAGCGCAACCTTTTAAAATTCCTGCATTTTCCATCCTGCAGCTACCTTTTTTATATCAAGGATCGTTCAGCGTTAATTTTTCACACTCATTTGAGACTTAATTTAAGTGCCTTAGATTATCACCTTTGTCAGAAAAATTGCTCTCTTTCACTTGCCTGCGCTCTTTGTGATCCACCTACTGAAGACACGAAACATTATTTCCGATACTGCCCAAATTTTGCTGCTCTGGGTGAAAAGTTGTTTACCTCCGCTCCACAATTACTTGGAAATAGATGGCATTGTGCCTCAGATAAGAAAAAATCGATTGCCTTTTAAATGGTATTTCTACGACTGGTTTTCAAATTAACGTCAGGTTGTCGCCAGTCTTTTATTTTGCTATCAAATCGCTTCTGTTAGTTGCTGTGTGTGTGTTTTTTATATTTATTTTTTGTTGTCGTTGTTCTTTTTATTCTTCCGCTCTTTTATGTGCGTGTGTTCGATCTTGACGTGCATTTCTGTTTTTAAAATATTTAATGTAAACAGCGTAAACTCTCTAGATGAGCCCTTTAGCCTTTTAGAGCAAATCAGTGCAAAAAAATATTGTTTATAAAAAATAAAAAAAACTCTCTACTTTAGTTCTGTAATAACTTTCTTGCCCCATTTTTTATCCATGTGATGGATTCTTATAAGGAACATTACATTGCAGCTCCAAGACTTCTTCCGTAAAACACGTGAATTACAACATGGACTTGATAAGCATTTATCACTATCGCGAAATTTTCTTTGCCTGGAAAGTGCAGGAGCAAATTTGCCAGAAAACATCATGCGAAAGTATTCTAATAAACATACTTTTAACTATGCTATCTACAGAATGAGAAGGGTTTAGAGGCATTGTCCGCGGAATGCACATTTTGTTTGAAAGTCAATACATAATCCGCCTTTATCTCATTTTACCATTTCACGGTGGGGCCAAACCACCCCTCAAAGGTGACAGAAGGGCTAATTTTAGAGATCTTTTGTATTTGATTTCATTTCATAACCAAACTTTGCCAGTTCACGGCCAAGAATATTTAAGTATCTGTTTAAAGAAAAATACCAAATTATGACGTCACCAAGGATGACGTCATTAAAAGGGCTTAATTAAATTGTTGTTAGAGCTTTAGAAAAGGGTTAAGGCACTGAAAACCAATTTTGGCTACGACACTTCCGACTCACTTTATTGGACTTCAAAGAAATTTAGTGCGTTCCCCCGGAAACATACTTTTCCTTAAAGAAAAACAAAACAATTCCAGTGTTTTTATTCTGATATATAATTATATATTTTTGAAAATAAGCTCAGTGATTTTCCTTAACATAAATTTTTTATAGTTGCCCCAAGTCTGGTATCATTTTAGATTTTCCATTTTTGACTCAAAAATTTAAGGAAAACAAAAAATGACTACGTGAATTCACAAAAATGTATTGTTGGATTTGGACCAGTTAGGAATTTCATTTTTCAAATGTGTTTTTCTTTTAGCTTTCGACAGTAAAACGACGATAAAACACTTCAATTTAAACTGATGGAACAGAGTTTTCCAGATTTGAAATGTCATATCTCGGCGTTAAACTTCCCTTGAAAAGTTTTGATTTGGTAATTTAAAAACGGTATAACAAGTTAAAGGATCCAAAAGTTAAAAATTTACGTATGAATGATGTCAGCAAATGTGACGTCATAACTTGACGTTTTGTATCATCTTATATGCCAATTTAATTGCCTGATTATATGTACATGATTATATGTATAGGTATAGACAGATATACAGTTTTAAAGAAATACAGGTGTAAACAGATATACATGTATTTTTCAGGACAAGTTTGGTAGACAAAGAGTAAAAAGCTTAAAACGTTATCGTACATCAATCACAATTACCTCGCTTTAGTGATACTTCCGGGTGGTGGCTTGGTCCCACCGTGTTTCAATGTTTAATTCAATTAATTTTTCAACAGCTGCAGCCGAACCCTCTCAGTCTCAGGCTACGTTAGCTCCTCAGGGAGACAAGAAGGAGGGTGAAGTTGAGGGGAGTGAAGAGGTAATTGTTCAAGACAATGGCGATGCCACTGAACAACCTCTAAAAGAGATTCCTAGTGTAAAACAGCTTAATGCGTTGTCAACAAAACAGGAGAATGCTCAAGACACAAAGCCTGCAGTGGAGCACAATATTCAAACCTCAGGAACAGCAGAAAGAGAGTTATCAAACACGAACTTACATGGTCCCGCGGCGTCTGGACTTACTGACCAAGATGTAGAGAAACAGGAGGCGCTTGCTGAGCCCTCTGAGGTTTGTATAAAAGGAAAGATTTATATTTTGTTAAGTATATAGACAAAGCCTAATTCCGTATTGAATTCAAGATGTAAGAACGTCATTACGTGAAGTACAATGAACTCTGAATGACGTGTTAATGCCATAAAATATGGATAAAATAAGTGAAGCGACAGCGTTGAGTCAGAGCCAGCAAAGTGATATTAAAAAGTGGAATCCCTACTTTTCGGACCTACTAAGAAAACAAATCAGATAATTCGAAAAAACGGTACAGAGCAAGAAAATACTTATGACTGAGTTAAGCTTCTTAAGCCGTTTAGCCAATCACACTTATTAAATTTACAATGATTGATAATAACTTGGTCCGAATTACCTACCGGAAGGCCGTTTTTCCTGCAATTAACGTTACATTTTTTTTTTTCGAAAACAGATAAGCAATGGGGAAGCGCAAATAAAGGGAGAGCAACGGAGCACCATTCAAGATAACATACAAAGGGAATCATCTCAGTAAGTAGTTGATGTGAGTTAAGCTACAGTTAAGAGTAGAATTTTAAACGGAGCTTCCGAGAAAAGCTATCTATGGCTACGTTCACACATTACAGGTGGCGAATTTTCGACCGGTTGAAACATTTGACCGGCCACTTAGTTCACACGGAAGTGGTCAACATTTTGGCGCTGTTAACACGGAACTGTGAAACCCTGATATTTTCAAGCAAAGCAAGTATTAACACGATTCGTAAATCCAAGTTCGCAATATCTGTGTGCAATTTTTCCTTCCTTTTCCAGCTAAGTAGCCACACACCCATCCAGCCACGCCTTTGCAGTACAAAAAACTTTAGCCGGTCCCGGTGTTCACATCTTGACGTTCAAATTTTCGACCGTACCGGTCAAAAGTTTGACCCCAATTTGAGCGGTTAAGTTTTTAAACGGCGAGGCGTTCAAATTTTCGTACGGTTAGCGAGGTTCCATGTGAACGGAACACCAAACGTACGAATTTTTGACCGGTCGGAAATTCGACCGGTACCGTGTTAACGTAGCCTAGATCTTATTCATGATAATCGTAAGTATATATTATAGTGAGTTGATAGTGATCAATTTGTAGGCTACGGATAGCCTCAGCTAGGAGCCCGCTTCTGGGAGTGGGAGGGGAGGAAGGGGTTCGGCTGAAACAGATGGAAACACCATGTTGTACGTTAATGCTTTACTGAAGTAATGAAACAAAATGATTTACCCGTGCATTTATGTCTTTTTTGGGTCGTCTTCGAGGGACTTTGCTTTTAGATGGAAGACTAGACTGTTCACAGTCCTTTTTTCCGTGAGATTGTCGAGATCGAACAATGGCGGCCATCTTGATTTTCAAATATACCAAGGGGGCGGGTGTTGGGGATTATAGCCTCTAGGGGGAGAGGGGCGAGAAAATATTTTTCTCGCCTCCTCCCAAACCGTCCCCCGCCCCTTAAGTAGATTTCATACTCTTCCCTAGGTTAGACTCGGTACATTTGAAATCAAGATGGCCGACATTAACGGCAAGACAAGCTCGGTCTCGACGATTCCACGGAAAAGTGGGGAACTGCAAACAGTCCAATGGAAGACGATTCCATTTCGATTTCCATTTACTACTGAGCATGTGGGAGTTTCATGAATGGATAATTTTAGGAATTTTTTTTTCCTTCACGTTAAGATCGTTTCCTGACAAGGACTTGCAGAATGATGAAGTCCATGATGTTCAAGTGCCAGACAGTGGTACAAATATAACACCAGCACCCACCGATCTGAGAAATGACGCGAAACCTACTAGTCAACCATTTTCCGATAAATTTCAGTTCAGTCAGAATGAGAAAACCGACAAGCGTGGCTCAGTTGATACAAATGGTGATAAAAAACAAGGAGTTCACGAAGGCGATACTTCTGGAAAAACCGCTGCAGAAGGTCCTGATGACAAAGGAATTGAGAGGGGTTCTGATCGAGAACGTAACCAAGTCAAGTGTAGAGGTGGTAATGTTAGCGAAACACATGACAAAAGTGAAGAGCAGAGAGCGGTAGCGTCTGAGAACCAAAGTGGATTGCAGTCCAATCCTGATGACAAAAAGAACACTACACTCGAAAGCGTTGACACTAAGGATGTTAATCAGTCTGATGGGCACGATTTTGGAACATCTGGTACTGTGGTAACAAAAACGAAGGTGGCAGCAAACATTAATAATCCGAATAAAGAAAGTATTTCCACAGCAGAAAAAGCTGAAAACCTGTCTTCTAAGAACACCGAAGAAAGCACGAGTATATCCAAAGGCGAACTTAAAAACGGCAAGATGCAATCTGGCGATAACAAGGAAAGTTCGCCAGCTGTTCAGTCAAACAAGAACAACTTGCAAAACAATGAGGGAAGGTCTGATCACAGCCCCGCTAAAATGGAAAGATCCCGTTTAGATAAAGACTGTATTAATGTTGTTTTTCATGCGCTGCTTACTCCCACATTTAATTTCCAGCCCGGTTATAATAAAGTGGTCCTGCGTGGAAATTCGCCATTTTCGTGGCATCCTGGAAGACAACTCGAGATGCGCGTTGGGAGGTAAGACTGTTGGCATAGTTTTTATTTATGCATGACATGACTGACAAAAAAACCCGTTTACTTTGGATGATGTTACTTTCTTAGGGAAGTGTGGAACGGCTACTTCATTTTGGAAGGCAAGGCTAAGCTAACTTTGCAAGATGCTCATTACGGTGTTTCATATAAATACGCCGTTTTACAGCCAAATGGAAAAGAGCTTTGGGAGTGTCTTATTGGATTCAAGCCTCGCGTGTCTGGCCATGTAAATCGTTTACTTGTCATTCCTGAATCATCCATTAAAGGAAATAGTGAGTGCATTCAAAACTAACTTCTTGTTTTTATTAAGCCGTGCATATGCAAAAACACTGTGGTATTAAGAGTCGAAACTTGTTAAATATTGCTTGTGACATGCACATAAGAAAAATAAACGTGATATTCTGAATTCGAGTTCCTTTAGTTGTACCGGATTAGATTCAACTAAAAATAGCGTCTAATTCGTATTCTGTTCTTTAACAAAATGACACAGCTACATGGCATCAGTATGACGATGCAGTCTTCAGTGAACCAGGATTATGGGAATCTCTCTGCAGCCACTTTCCACCGTTAAGAAGCATTGTGCGAGACCCTGTGGAAGGCCGAAGGATGGCGATGTTTGCTATGCTTCCTGAATTGGACAGTATCTTTGCAGACCAAAAAGGAGAACGGTTGACTGCCCATGCTACTTTAGCTGAGATCAATAAAATACTGCACTGCATGTTAAATTGCGCATGTGAGAATGGAGGTTTTCGCTTCATTCGTGATCTAATTGGTTTTGATGCCAAGAAGGTTTGTATTGAAACCAAGTTTTGTATTTCTTCTTAACTAAAGGAGATGACAAGTCGTTCAACTTCTATTTGAACACTCGAGTACTTTCATCTCCCTTATTCCTACTAATAGTTTTCCTTACTTGAAAGTGTCCGCTTACAGTTTTATGGATGACAACAACAATTTATAGTTTTTTTTTTTTTGTAAGGTTCTTTGGGAATACCTTTCACCGCGGCTAAACCAAAACATACAAAGCCTACAAGTACACACGAAGGACGAGTATCTTCAAAACAAGCGATTGGTTACCGCTGCAATCATTGCATCCCTTGTCGGTTATCATGAAATGACATTTCTTAGAGATGAAGTGATAAAAGACCTCTTGGAATGTCTAACTTTAAATGGGGACCCATATCGCAGGAGAAGTAGTGGCCTCAATGCGATTCTTCATCACTTTCCCCAAATGGAACATTTAAGGTAATTAAATACTATGTTATGAAATATACTTTATTTCCCCCTTAACATTTGTTCAAAGTGTTCCTTCCTTACTTTATATCCATTGAGGTATAAATTGCGTTGAGGTATGATTGTTCAATAGAAGCGTTAAAATGAAAAGTGTAAAATGTTTTTCCAGAGCCAGACAAAAAAAGGTTCCGCGGCCAATCAATGAGCTTACTATTTGACTGATTTGTCGGTTTCCAACTTGAAATTGCCCACCACCATGAAGCCAGATGGATATGGTCATTACTTACTTTTACTGTCACATAATCAAGGAACAATGCTCACAAGTAACTGAAATGTTCTAATTCAATTTTTATTGAATTTTATAGTAAAGTGGCCAGTAGCTTGTGTCGAATTTGCAACTATGTTATTGAGACTCGCCCTGGAATCTACCATTGGCTCTTTGCGGTGCCTCTGCTTCATTTTCTATCGGAAGTTGCTGCGCCATACTCTGGTGAATTATCCTCAGCACCTAGTTCAATTAAAGACGATACTTGGTGGGGAGCGCAAGAAATAAATTTTCAGAGTGTTTGGAAACGAGCTGAGTTGATGCCGTGAGTATAGACCTGCTAAACAAGAGATGTTCTATACTGTCGTTTGCGAAAGAAAAAAAAAGATTTAAGACTATATTTGAAAAAAAAACCTTACATATTGAGTAGTAGCCTCCGCACACAGCCACCTTTCATCGCTCCTCGTTGCTGAGACGAGTTTGCGAAACACCCCCGAACCCACTAGGGATAGATGAGAGGTGGCCGTATTCGCAGGCTAATCGAACAAAATCCAGCAAGAAGCACAGAAATACCAAGCTTCGCGTTATTTCCATTACCTTACGCATGCACACATCCGTATTACCCTCCAGCATTTGTCGTTATTAGGACGTATGCTAAAGGCGAAAGTGTCTCACTTGCAATCACAGTCCCCGCCACTTTAATACAGACAAGGCATTTGAGCCTTACAAGTGGTGCCTTACAAGAACGAAACAATTGTACAAATGTATATGCCTGCCATTGCCAGCGTGTTACGGCTGGACGCATGCGTAAGTTGCCGACCAAACCGAAAAGATCAAATGCTGTGACTGTCACGCCACTCACATTGGTGAGACCGGCAGAAACCATAGAACGCGATTGACTGAACACAACTCACGAGCGACAGGAAATGGTGATGTCAACAGCAAATTACTCAACACCATTTAAAGACGAAACATCAAATCGACTGGTATTATGCTCGATATCACCAAGTCAATACATGCACTATTGTCTCTTTCTACTGTTTGGAGTTTATTTTGTTATTGTGTAAGGACGAGAGATCATTGTTGTGTTCTTTGTGACGTAACTAGAGACTTGCTATTCACTTAATATAATCGTGTACCAGCCGGATTCTGCTATATGTATTGCGTATTCTACAGACTACCATCAACGATTCACTTTTGAAAGCTGGTTTACTAACTTAGAATGAACGCCACTCACTCGTAGTCAACAGTTACAGGCACCGTACAAACGACGGACCTAAGTAAAACTGGCAACGACAGCATGACTCAGACAACCGATACTTTGACTAACAATGAATGACTATTAAACTAGGTGTCACAAAAGAAGGATCGAAACGCTCCAAAGATATTAAGAGTCTTCGTAGCCAATGACATCACGGCTTAATTGACAGACCGACCAATAACATCGCGACTCAAATGACCAATCAGGTTAATAACCAGAGTTAGATAACATCAACTGACTTTGACTCTAAAGATGACTACCGCATAGGTTGCTAAACGTGCGTCACTGTCAAAGACGGTCCTATTTCAGGACTACACTCACCCAGACGATAATGCTCCACCTACCTCTGAATTCAAATGACACCTGGGTTCAAACCTTTCTCAGTTTTATAAATACTCTCCAGTAAAAATTAAAGTTAATGAGATCGTATGTTGTTACTGCTCTTGCGTAGTTATTTGTTTAGATACCCTAGTTTTTGGAAAGTGAAGAAAAAATTTGTAAAAAGTGTTTGCGTTGTTATCATTGCAGCAGCAGTACCCCTATCAATCTTCTTATTCAGCTTACCCCGATGTTCGAGGTCGATCCGTTATTTAAGCGGACATTTCTGTTGGCTCTTCCCATTTGTGACCTTGGTAAGGCATTAGAAAGAAATCTATTTGAATTGCACGAAGTCTGCTGGACTCTCGCTCGAGTTGTGGAAGAGAGAGACCCTCCATTTCTGTCTCAGGAAGAGGTAACGAAATATCTTCATTTTTTTTTACTATGGCCCGGAGTGATTTGACAGATCATCGAACACCGCCTTCAGTTAACTTGCGGATTGGGCCGTTTGTAATGATCTGATCGATCCTATTAGATGTAGGGTTAACTGAATTATTGAGTTCTTGTGACGAGGGCGAATTACTACTAAAAATAAATTCGCGTTGTTCTCTCAAGGCTTATCTTTGTCATTCACATTTGCCCGGAGTTGAATACGTCCACTCATCTTCGTCCTCACAATACGTTTTAGAGACTGGCAAGGCAAAGAAGAAACAAGAAACGTTATAGTGCTGAGTTGTTGTTTTGCCTTCTCGTCGTTGTTGCCGTCGTCATTGCTCAAGCTTTGTTTCAAATTGCTTAAAACGCCAACCCTAAGCCTGTAATATCTTTTTCAAAAGTGTGATCAATGACCACGTAATAATTTATGAGCAAAAATATAGCCCTATTTATAGGATAAATGTTGGGAAAACAATTGCCCTTACCTAATAACTGTAGGAGATATAAAGTTTTTCAACCCTTCAAATAGCTGAGACCAGCTCTTTTTCTTTTTTGACTATATGTCTCTGTTGATATTTTTTTCTACTTAGTGGGCTTCCCTTGAAAACACCATCAGTCAAATGTGCCTTGAAGTCGAAGCATATGCAGGGTGAGAGCATCGTTTGGTCAAATAACAAACACTCATGTTAAATAAAAATTGGGGTGAGAATTTTTTCTCAGTAAACCGGAAGATTTTTGTTTCGCGTCTGCCGGATCACTTTTAGAAGCACTCGTTGTTAAGAGGAAGATGAGGTCGGTAGGAAGACGAGTGTTTCATATAATAACTGATGTCAAACAACACAGCGCTGGCATTGTTTTGACTGAAAAAGCGAACTGTCTTAGCAATGTCTTTGCGAAAAACGAGACTATCTTTGCAAGTGTTGAAACTAACACCTCTCATGATTTTTAAAAGAACAGAGGTAACGACCATTTTCATCCTCTTAACCATATTCTTCATGTCCTAACTACATAAAATTAACTCAGTTTTCCTCTTTTAAGGAAAAAAGAATCTACCTACGAGGCAATGATGTCTCTTGCGCAGGCTGCCTTCTATCTTTTACATCATTTGTTCTCAGTACACGGATTGGCGATCCGTAAAGAAAGCCAGGTCATCTCTGGAATTTTTCAACTTCTCGCCAAAAGCCTTCAATTGGCCAAGCGCGGTTTCGTCGTGTATACATCATCAAAAGAAGCAGATGACAGTTGCCAAGACATTTTTCAAAGGGCTGTTCAGTCCTTACTTAGCTTTTTGGACAAGAACTTTAGGGAGAGCTTGTTCTACGCATTGAGAGATTTGCGACAAGAAGAATTTCAGGTACGATGTTACGTTAGACTTCAAAACTGTCGGTTTTTTTCTCAAAATCAGTAAAGAAATCGATAAAGCGTGGCGTAACGCGAGCCTCACACGCGGGCGTGTGAGGCGAGAGAAAAAAAAAAACGACTGTCCGTTTTCCATACAATGAGTTCGTTCCGACCAGGGGGTTCAAATATGTCGTCGAGCTGTCAAAAATCTGTTCGCAACTCCGCTCTCTTGATGAATTTTGATACACTCGGTGATTGATTTCGAGGGAGAATAGCGCGTGTTATTGTCTGCACTTGGCTTCGAATCTTGACGCTCTAATCCAGTAATTCTAAAGCAGTTCTTAGCGTTGCTTCTCTATGAAATGTAGTGTATATGGTGAAATGTAGTATATATAGTAGAGGATCAAAAATGAGTGGAAGTGGCAGTACGACAACAAAGCCTGTGCCTGCTCCTCGAAGAGGGAGAAAGCCGAAAGAGCCGAGGGCTTCGGACAAATTGTAGAATGTGCGGCTGTTGTTTCAAAACACAGTTCGGCAATTTTACGAATGGATGGATATGCTCGGAAAATGTGTTTGTTGCGCCTACCAGATAAGGGGAAACTTTACCAAAGTGGGCCAACCTACTGAAAAACGAACTTTTCGTTGTCCTCGAGGAAGGAGAATTTTTGTCCACAAGAGTTTGCTCTCCGTGCCGTTCAAAGGTTAGAAACTGGTCCGGGAAACTGCACGGCGATGCTTTCGCAAATTAGAGAAGAACTGAACACGCCAACTGACGATGAACAATTATTGCGATTGAAAAGAATGAGTAAATCCCCTCATTCCAATCCACGTCTTGGTGATTTAGCTCTGTATATGACGACCTATGAGAATTTAAAATCCTGCTAAAAACGTTAACGAGCTGGGCCCAGCGTGACAAAACATTGCAGGAAAAAGTCAAATTCACGGACATAAAGAAAATCGCTTAAAATTATTCAAATCCAGGAGGCACTTTGGAGAAATAAAACAACCTAAAACCCTTAATCAGTCGCAATGAAGAGCTTTACATTTCTAAAGGGACCAAGAAAGAAAATGCTCTTGCGTCAGAAGGCAAATCATGCCGTCCAGGGAAAATCAATAGGGAACTTAAGATGGAGACGTTTTCGGGGCGACGGCGACCGGACTGGCAGAGAAAGCCTGGAACTAAGGCAGCCGTCGCTCCCCGTCAAAAATAGAACAAGATAGCAGTGAACTCAGAAGGACGGCGCCTTTAATTAGAAGAATACCGAAGAGGAAAATATGGCTTCACATAAAGAATTAAGAGAATAAATATTTGCTATGCAGACAACATGTATCGGATGAAGAGTTTCTCGTTTTGTGGGAAAATTATGAGTCCAAAAATCCCGATTTTCCTCGGGACAGTTACGATCCGCTCACGCTAAAAAACATGCGGGATGCAGCTGAGTTCAAGGCAGAATTTCGTGTTGAAAAAAAATGATCTCCACAGGCTTGCCGAAGCCTTGCAAATTACAGGAACATTAAAATGCTACCAAGGAACCGTATTCTTAGTTTGGTATTGAAATAATTCTCGTGAAATACTTGCATGCAACAACAACAACAACAACGGCAACAACTTTATTTCAGTATTCCCACGCCGAGTTAGTACATGGTATTACCTACTATTCTATATAATTTTCAATGCGTTTCATTTATACGATATTCTAACGAAAAGAGCGAACTAAAAACACACAATTGAAATATCGGAGTTCATATTTTTTGTCTGGATACTTTTATTTGGCTCGTGGGAAAATTTTGTCCCATGTCAAGCTCACTTACGGTTGGCTGTTTGCCAAGTTGGATCTTGACCCTGTGACATGAAAACATAGAAACATTCAAAGATGTAAGTTTAGATAAGAGAGCTTGGAAATCGAGCTTGAAACGTGCCTCAAAGAAAACAAGGACAATTTAAGAACGATAACCTGCAAAATGTTGGTTGCTAAACGCAACAAACCTGATTGAAATGAAAGTTAAATACTTACGTTTTCGCCACAACGCCAAACACACCAGTTTCACGTCGCCGACGGGACCACGAAGGCAAGGTGATGTGCACGAGCATGCGCAATATCCAACAAATGATGATGTCACGTCCGGCTGAAGTTGCCGTCACCCCGAGAACGTCTCCATCTTAAGTTCCCTAATGTGCGTGTCACGACCTCTCAGTATGAAGTATATTTAATAAGCGGCCAAAATTCATGATCACGTTTGCTCAGTCATAACGTTTTCCTCCAAAGCATAATCTACTCGACAGAGAAAACAATTCATTGGAACAAGCAGCATTTTTTTAACCAGGCGAGATAACAATGACGGTCGGCCGTTGCACGGAACTTGAAGAACTCTTTGCATGAACAAACATCTGATAAATAAGGCTTTTGTCAAATCCTGTTGGTAGAACACAGAAAACATCCTTTCCCTTGAGTAGCAACTCCAAAGCTTCCCTATGCTCCGATTTTGAAACAAATCCCAATTCTTGCGAGCAAATCCAGGCGATCAACATGCGTCATTTTACAGCGAAAGCATTAGCAATTCACCACGGTAGGGAACATCGCGAATGACTTGTTGAAAACATTACTTGACAGCTTGGTGACATCTTACATCGAAATTTAGCCAATGGGAATTGCCCGTGGCTGGGAGAAGCGGGTAATTCGAACGAATATAATGTTACGTCCATCTACTCGATTCTTCTTCATCATCTGCTAAGTTCTTTTACACGTTGCAATAATATCGATTCCCCCTCATTTAAGGACAATGTCTCAACAACTGTACGTCGGCTGAAGGCTTGTTAGACAGTCATTATGTTAAATTACGTTTGATGTGCGATGTGCAGTATATGAGAGTTGGTCAGTTGATCATTCGTCCATTCTACACACAATCGTTCAGTTAATATATATCTGTTTTAGAAAGTAAGCTGCCAAGTGTGATATTTAATTTTTTTCTCAAAGTTATTCATGATCAGCCTCAGTTATCGGCTTTTGCGGTGAGTACAAGTGCGTACTAGTTGAGGCTCTAGTGTTTATTGATGCCCACAGAAAATAGAAACTTGACTGAATTGATGGTTAGAAAAGACTATTTATCAAGTTTAATTTCTTTCCTAAAACATAATAGGTTTGGTCAACATTGCTGTCCGTGATGATCGAGGAGAGGGAATTTCAAGTCATTTGGGAGCATGGTGTCAGGGAGGCTCTTAAACGTCGAATAAATCTGGTACATTTTTTTTCCAGATATAGCTAGCATATTAGCCTGTCAAATGAGTTCAGACCTCAAGTTGGTATGCACAGCCTGCGAACGGCAGACGTTTCTCCTCGCTCATCGCCGCTGAGGGACGTTTCGCGGGTCCCTCAGTGGCGGTGAGTGAGGAGAAACGTCTGCCGTTCGTAGGCTATGGTGTGCACGGAGGATACTTATATTTTGCTTATGAGTGAACTTCTCACTCGTTTCTATTTTCGGGTTAATTGCTTTCGTCTAAAACACTTCTTCAAGTGAGTCACTGTATAGCTTTCATGATAACAAAAAGAAAAGCTGAATTTCGAACAATGAGACAAAGACGGAAAGAAGAGTGGATCCAGAATTACAGACTTTGACCAGAGAGTGCCGGATTACGCGACAGGACCTTTATACAAGAATATGGGTGTTAACTGTGTCTTTCAAGTGCTACCTTTATTACGATACGGAAACGTCGGTGAGGCCTGGTTTAATAGAAATTATCCGGGAAATTTTCCGTGCATCAAAGACTGGTTAAACCAATCAACCAGGGTACAAGTCGGGCTTACCTAGCCAGGGTTTCAGAACGGGTCTTTTTCGTTTGTTGGTTTGTTTTTCGTCCGGACCAATTTTTTTTTTTTAACCGTTTACACGGGTAACAATCACGTTAGGCTTAGGATTGAAAAGTGCAGTAGTACACATGCGCGAAACCACCGTAAACTACGGCAGGCTCACATAAAGAAGATGGTATGGAACGAAGATGCGTTTACACAGCGTTTCCAACAGCAAAAGGGGTCCGGACTCATTTTTTTTTTTTTCGGTTTTGGGACCATAGCCGCCTATGGCCCCAAAACCAGAAAAAGCGGTTCCGGATCCATTTCATGAAAACATAGTATGGAAGGTTTACAAGGAAAAAATATCTGGTCCGTACCAACTTTTTTTACGGGTACGGACCCATTTTTTTTCTGTAGAGTAAATGGGGCTATAGTCACCTTCTAAATCTGGGTTACTGATGACCTGGCCTAAATGCATATTTTCTTGATTTTTTTGGAGTTATTTCTTGAGAACTTGTACTTAATTAAATTTACACGGCTAACAAAATTCTTACTTCATCTTCTCAACTTCGGAATTCTTGTATTAAACAGATGGAAAAGAAACATATTGTGGAGTTGTTTTGTGAATTGGATCTGAATACCTACCACCAGGAAATTGGCGAATCTTTCATGGCTGCATCATTTCAGGCCGTAGACTGTCTCGTGGAGGTATGCTGTTAAAATTCGTTTCGAATTCTATGTAAAGAAAGTGTTTAGAAGGCTTATTTACGCCATGCATATATATCTATTCTATATCTCTACACTATAATCGATTAGTGCTGCTTATTAAACTTCACCTGGAATTTTTGAAGCTAATTTACAATGTAAATCAACTAAAAAGCTGACGTTTCGAAGGTTCAAGTGGTTGTGGGTTATGAGTGGCTTGTATATCATATAAGCAACACACATTCCATGGAGTTCAGCTGTAGGATTGAAACTTGATAACATCTTTATATGATTGTAACTTGATCGACTCAATCACCCTCACCGA